AGTAAATGAGGGCAAGAAGGTAAAAAAGTGGGTGGAGAACTAAATTTGAGGATGCCTCTGAGTGTGGGATATAGTGGAGGAGGAGAAATGAAAGAATTAGAGAAGGGGGAGAATAAGATGCAGTTATAACAGGAAAGAAACGTTTTTCAGGATAAATGGTCAAGTTCTCAGGATGATCACTAAGGAAGGTCACTGGAATGAACCATTATGATATTGAACGCTTTTGAGAATAGATTTTGGTGGGACTGTTGGACTGGAACGCAGAAGGTGCAGAGTTAAGGAGGCGTGATGTAACGTAAAGGGCAGGGGACCTGAACTAGAATCCCAGTTTTGTCACTTACCACCTACATCAACTTAGCAAAGTTACTTTAGAGTATTCTTAGTTTCTGAAGCTGTAAAAAATAATTCTCAGTTGTATGATACTTAAAAGGATTCAATGAGGCAGGCAAAATTGCTTGGTTAAATGCCTAGAATGTAGCAGGCTCTTAATTAAATCCATTCTTTTAAGAAAACAGTAAGTGGTAAGGAAGCAGGATGAAATTAAGAATAGGATAATCTTTTGAAAGCCTTCATGGTGACAGGACCTGAGACATTTGTAGGGAAGATTTTGCAGGATAGTTGGAACTGAGAATGTTTGCTGACAGAGGAGAGGAACCTAGATGGATAGAGAAAGTATGGAGTTAGGAATAAAAAAATTACTGATGAATCAAGAGCTGATGACAAGAGATCAAGGATTTAGGATCAAGTGCACAGGGGGAAGACCAAGTAAGAAAGAAATATACACATCTTTGGAGACTGGAAGGAGAAAAAATAAATATATTTTTAAGTGCAGAGAAGAAAGCAAGCTGTAGGGGGGGCTCTTTTTCAAAGCATGTGTCTTTAAAGGGACAAAGTAATTCACTAAGTGAAGGAATGATGAAGAAGTAGGGCTTAAGTAGAGTATAAAAATTTGGAAGTGTATCATGAAAAAAGGCTATGGGAGTCATTAGAAAAGGATAAATACATTGCTCATCCGGGGAGAGAGTGATGTGGAGTCGGTACAGGTTTCACTGAATTTAGGAAGCAGTAGACTGGGAACCTATTCTTTAAGCATAGTAGTACATTCCAAGAAGCTGCTGTAATTATCCAAGTAAAAGGTCCAGAATCACGAGATATGTCATAAGAAGAAGATTGAGGAGAAGGGGAGGTAAATCAACAACATGCCCAAACATTGTCTGAAAGGCAATGGCCTGAAAGTCCTTTTCATATTGATTCACTAAAATCTTATCAACTGTGGGGACTTCTTGAATATCCAGCATCCAGCAGGGGCTCTGTTTAGTTATCTGAGCCCTGCAGGCTACACAGCAGGAAGCAGTTGGGTCTTGTACGGCGTGAGGAAGGATCAAAGAAGGCAGGCTGAAGTCTGCTTTAACCCCAAGGCAAGCCTGAGGCTCGGGCATGCCCTGGACTAGAGGGACTCACCCTGACACGGGAAAGCTGTATGGGTTGTACGGCCCTTTATGGATCTCTTCTTGAGTAGAATATGATATGGTCACTCGATTAGCCCTCTGGACCAGCTTCCCAAGAGGAAGGGGAGGAAATACTTGACAGAGGATCACGTAAAATAGGACTTTGGAAGAACTTAATTTTCTGTTGGAAGAGAAATCTCTATTTGGAGCGAGAAAAGAGCAAATTTTTTTTCTTTTTTGGTAGTGGTAGGTGGTCAATGGCAGTTTCAGAATGCAATCAACAGCCTTAGAATAGGGTCACACCATCAACTTTGGGAATCTGCAGAGGACTGCATGTTCCTAAAGGGACAGCAGGTATTAATGCTTTACAAAATCTTAAGGGCAGTTAAATCTGCCATGCTTTATGTCTTTATTATCCTTGTTCATTCATTCATTCATTGAATACCAACCATATGATAGGCAGTAATGGACTAGATACTTGAGAGAGACAAAGTCCCTATGCTGACGGAGTTTCCATTTCAGTTGGGAATGGGATTATGGAGAATGCTGGAATATTGAAAAATAATACACTGAGTCCTCAGGATCTGAAGCATTGTGTATGTGTGTGTATTCATAGTGTGGGTTTAAGTGTAGGAGTGTGTGTGTGTGTGTGTGTGTTTGTGTGATAAACGTATAGAGAAGAGGTAGTCACTATAGTATTTTCTTGTCTATACTAGTCTCCATATAAAGAAAATAACTACCCAATAACAGCATTGTGGGAATACTTTTAGTATAGGGTGGCATTGGTTAGTGAATACCTTTTGTGTTTTGTATTGTTTAAAGCTTTGCTGCCTATCAAAAGGAACTTCACATTCAGTGTTGCCAAAATTACTGTGGTTAGTTAGGCATTCTTTTATGCTACTGATGGATTATAAATTGTTAAATCTTTCTGGAAAGCAGTTTGGCAATATGTATTAAGAGCATTAATATGTTCCTATCTTTTCAATATGCAATTTTAGGGAATTTATCTTAAGGGAAATGATCCACAATGAGGGCAAAGCTTTATGCACAGAGGTGCTCACTGGAGACTAATTAACAGAAATACAATACTAAAAATTTAAATTATTTATGAATAGAGAAATGGCTGTCTTGTTATGGTGCATGAACAGTATGAATATCATGTAAATCATTAAAATTATGAGCTCAAGGAATTTCAATGACATGGGACAGTATGATATAGGACATTATATAAAAAGAACAGGAATAAATTTTAATATGCTGTATATTCTTAATATTTAAAACAATTCCACAAAATTGGATGTAAGGATATAGGCAAAAATGCTTTGTATTTACAGCATTTTCTGTAATTTGTACATTTGACTTTTATATCCAGGAATGCCAATAAATATTATTTTATAAAGCCTGTGTTAGGTCGGGAGTTAAATGCCTCTGTGACTATTGCATAAATCATTGAATCCTGTTCTGGAATGATCTGGCAAATCAAAACTTGCATATATAACCATAATATCAATTCAAAGTTTTGCTAAGTAATTTGTCATATGGGTATATTTTAGTGCAATGAGAGCAATTTTATTGGCTGCTTTTCTTCAGGATTTTTTCTTAACTTTTTAACATGACAGATGAAGGCTTGTCCTTGGTCTAAGCATAGTGAATACAGAGAAGTAGTAGAAATGGCCTCACTGAGCAATAGTTTCATAGGAAATTATCTAATTAAGTAAATAGAAAGCAGAGATGTCTTCCTTGAAGATTAGGAAGATATTTCTTAAAATGTGGTCCTAGGACCCTTGCATAGACATCATCTCTGATCATTGTTTAAAATGTAGATCTCCTAAACTACCCAATAAGAATCTGAGGATGGGTTCTAGAAAACTGTATTTTTATAGGTATATCCTAAATAAGTCTCCTGAGATTCTTTAAGAACCACCAGTTAGGCTGAAGGAACAAAATAGCAGCAGACTCACAGACTCCAAGAAGGGACTAGTGGTTACCAAAGGGGAGGGGGGTGGAGGGTGGGTGGGGAGGGAGGGAGAAGAGAATTTTGGGGTATGATTGGTGCACATGATGTGTGTGGAGTCACAGGGAAGACAGTGTAGCTCAAAGAAGACAAATAGGGACTCTGTGCATCTTACTACACTGATGGACAGTGACTAACTACAGTGAGGTATGGGGGGGACTCTATAATAAGGGTGAATGTAATAACCACATTGTTTTTCTTGTGAAACCTTCATAAGAGTGTATATCAGTGATACCTTAATGAAAAAGAAAAAAAAAAAGAACCACCAGTTAGGGAAGACAGGTTTGAGATTTAATTTGGCATAATCTCTTGTCTGGTCCAATGTTTATTAAGCAAGTTTTCTTAATAGCATGGATCTAGTATGTAAAGTACTTTGCTTCCCAGATAAGTCAGCATTGGGGGATGGGGACCATCTACTGTTCTACTCCCTCTTATTGGAGAGGTTTGGGTTTGGCATTCTGTGAGAGCAGACACCAGTGGTCAGTAACATGGCTGCGGGTAGCGACTGGGTGACAAAGTACAGACTGTAATTTGTTTAGACTAAAAAAAAAAAACAGCATCGCACCAATTCCAGTTCCTTTGGGGGCATCCTTTGGTGGAGTGGTTGTCTAAATCGTTTACAGCAGAGTTCACAACTCCTAAAGAAACAGGCCTCCATGGAGAGCTGTAATACCCCAGAGGTTAAGGGCACTGCTGCTGGAGTCAGACGCACCTGTCACTTCCTATGTGCAGGATGAATTAACTCGAGATCTTAGATTCTTCTCATGAAAAATGGGAAGTATCAGCCTAATGATGAAAAACGGTATGCAAATTACTTAGCACAGGGCCTGGTATGAAGAAACAACTTGCAAATGCTTATTGTGAAGACTTCATAAGAGCTCAGTTACGTTAAGTTTGGGAGCTGGTTTTTTCCAGCTGGTTTTTTGAAGACCATGTTAGTTGTCAGAAAAGCCCAAGGATTTGAGTAATCCAAAATTCTTATGGTGGGAGAGGAGGCCCTGGCAGTGGATCTAGGTTTACTGATAGCCCTTCATCTGAACTAGAATTATGATACCTGTTGGTTTCATGGAACACCCAACCCTTTGTCACTTATTAAAATCTACCCTCCTGGGGTTTGCATAGGGCTAAACCTAATTATGTGAAGTATCATCTGCAGAGTGACTTTCATTTTTATACCCTTTTCAGTTAAACACAAAAAGTCATTCCTACACACACACACACACACACACACACACACACACACACGCACAGTCTTAACCCTGATCACCTCTATAATAGTTCTGGGGTGCCACATTCTATAAAGCTATTGTGGGTTCTAAGAAATGTCTAGCTTTATGATGGTCAATACCATGACATCACGATTTTCTTGCCTTCTTGGTAAATATTCCCTGAGTAAAATTACTTGTTACCCTGTTCCCTAATTTAAACTTGCATTAGCCAAGTGATAGGCATCTCTAGTAGTTTCTCAACTTTAGGATAACAACCACACCCTGGGAACACAACTCAATCAAGTCAAGGCAATTCCCAGGAGCAAGCGTTTATATGATCCAGTTGCTCAAAACACTCCTTGAATAAATGACACATCCTAATTTAGGATACATCACCAGATTCAAGTCAGAGAGGATCCTCTGCCAGTCAATCGGAGTGCGGGTCACTGGAAGATCTCTTCGTAAAATTTTCCTCAGGGCTTCATTTGATAACTCCTGTAATTCTTCTAGAACAGCAGCTTGAAATTTATTCTGTTGCTCTTCCACAAGCCTTGCAAAATTGAGAGCCAGTTGCCCTTGGTTAACTATTTCCAAGCTTTCTTTCAGGTCCTTGGAGATTTCAATATGCAGGTTGACGCACCTGAAGAAGTGAGCTTTCACAAAAATTCTTCCTGTTACCTGGGTTAGAAATGGATTTATTTGGAAGATCCATTTAGACTTCCAAAGGCCATTTCAGCACCCTCTTGTTTCATAGCTGTGATCCTCAATGCAGGCTATCAAGAACTCCTTGTTTTTCAGTTTTCCTCAGCACGTTGCCATTTCCTGCTGGGTAGTGATCATTCACATACAATTTTAAGGCGTACAGAACAACCGTTCTCACGTATTCTGTCTCATTCCAGATGACCCCATGACTTTGAATGTCTTTTAACTGGTTTTGAAGCAGGTCGAATCTGAAAGAAAGCTTGCTTTGTTGGTCAACAAATTGGAAGTCCCCCACTACATTGTGGTGAGACAAGAGTACTGGGTTTCCATCGAGACAGAGCGGGACAGAATACTTTTGGCAATGCTGGTGGCCTGCGTACTCACCTTGATGGTGCATGAGTTTTTCATCATGGATCAGCAGACAGAGATTATCAAAAACATTTACAAATTCCCCTGGAGGAGCCTGTAATACTAGTTGGTGGATGATTTTTTCTTTCTCTTTCCTACTCAGAGCACTAAGTGACATGTTTGGTTATAGCAGAAGCAAAGCTTCTGAAACAGAGAATGCTCACAGGATGAGAAAACATTCCACGGGGCACCTTTCCCATCAAGGTGTTAGACCTTCAAGCTGAAGATTCCTCTGTCTAACCAGCAAGCTAAGTCTCCTGATGACATCATACAGAAGCTTTCTCTATGAAGTATGGGACTTTTGATGATATCACAATGGTGTTCAGACCAGAAGAAGAAAAACATGACAGTCACCTGACAGCATGGCGCCCAGCCAGCAGGTATACATACTTTGAAGTTTTTAAGAACTTAGCCTCCAGAACAGCTTTCTTTCAAAAGTGGTGTGTCTCTGTGCGCATTATACGTTGTCAGGGATCTAGGAAGCAGTCCAGAACTTCTAGAGTGTTCAGCAGCGCTCTGCACCCTGGGGACCACTTGGTGCTGATTTATACTCAGGCCCTCAGAACAGCTGCCCCAAACCCACTGGAAGCGTGTTATGCTGAATGGTTTCAGGGTTTTAAACAAGATAGTAAAAATAAAATGAGATACAATGCAATTCATGGAAAAATGCCAGAGAGCAGAGGATGCTGTCTTTATAAACACTATGGGCTTGGGGACGGTCGGAACATGAGCAAGAAGCCAGAAATCTTTCAAGGGCAGCAAATTATGGGGACCACACTTGCGTTTGGTTTCTGTGGGATTCAAGCATCGGCTAACTCCAAAGAACAAAGGCAATAAACCCCTGTGTGTTTTCTGCTTTCTCTTTAGAAAAGGCGCAGATGCAACAAGCAATGAGTATCAAGACATTCCTTTCCTGCAAAGGGACAGAGTTAATTAGATCTGGGACTCGTGACAACTAATCGGGAGAGACTTCTAAGCGAGGAAAAACTGGACAGGTCATGAAAATATGGAGAACAAATATCCACTCAGATGTCCTTTCTGTGCCTCTTTCCTTCTCTTTCTCTGGTATTTACCCCCTTCCCTTGATTCTTCTCTCATTCTCTTTGAAGTGCACTGAACTAAAGCCCGCATGTAAGTAGAAACCGCTTCCTTCACGTGTGTCCTGAGCTCTCCCAAGGTTCCTGTATCTTTTTATTATAAGAACATGAGCTTTGCTATATCAAGTCATGGTCATTAAATTTAAGGGCTCCTCATTAGTTCTAATCATCTGAAATTGGAGTTTTGAACAATTTTTACAAAAATCTTTCATGATTTTCATAATTTGACAGTCATATTAATTCTTCTCAACCTTGGCTTTTCAAATTGTAGTTTATCTGTATATAATTACCCTTGAGTATTTTAGTTTTCTTGTTCATACCAAATAGACACTCACCATGGTATTTTTAATCCTTTTTGATGGTACTTAAAATGTTGCTTTTTTTGGTTGTGTGTGTAGCTGGACATTTGCCTAATGTAGTGGTATTATTACATGGTTATTATTTATTGAGCACAGTAGGAGAATCTGTGTTCACTGATAGTCTATGAACTAATTTAACGCCCCCCACCTTCCCTAAGTATTTATTTGCCCACTTTCAGATCAGGGAACATAAGTTAAGAAAGGTCAGGTGACAGGTCTTCAAGTCCAGCTGTCTCCCAAGTCCATGTCTTTAGGCAATAGATTATTTCCCAAGTAATAACTTTGTTTTGCAAATACTTATTTTTATTATTTTTCCTGTAATTTTCATTCTATTATGCCCTTTCTTGCCTTTACTACAGAATAGTATCTACTTAGTTTTGTTTTAAATATTATTGATCATAGAATTATCTTGACCCTTAAGCCTGGGATAGGTTACCCTTTAAAAACAAAAATTAAAACAGATTGTAGAGATCAAATATTTCTTTAGCTATTTTAAGTACTTCATGACTTCCTGTGAGAATTTCCTTAACTTCTTGTGTGCTTCATACGTGGTTTCTGTCCATGATTCGGGATGACTTTAGAGGTGGAAAAATTAACCTAGAAAAAACTCAGAAATTACTTGAAAAACTAGATGTTCGGTGCAGTAATGTTCATGTGAAACACATTTTTAAGGTGAGATGATATCCACCCCTTGCCTACCTTACCTTAGGAAGGACTTAATCCAATACAGGGAAATAGCAATAGCTACTTGGATGCTTTCTGCAGGAAATATATATGAAAAATCAAGAACTTTAAAATTTTAATTATCTTAATAATTAAAGCAATTAATTATGCTAAATACATTTATAATCAAGATAGGGAGAACTTAGCTAAGATGTAAAATGGGTTGATGATGAATTTTGAAGTAATACAATAATACCAAGTTATCAGTTTAGAACAATCTGCTGAGTATCCAGGAATGTTCACATCAAATTAGGATTGGTCACATGATTAGGTCAAGTCCTATAAATGATGAAATGGTAAATGGGTTGGATGTTAGTGATTTATAGAAGAAATGGGTAATTCCTGAGAAAAATTTCTGGTCACCTCTAAGTAGGAAATCATGCCAGGAGTTCCCTTTGCTGAGAGAAGAACTAGTAGGTAAAGAACCTGGTTCAATGCTGTCATTAGAGAACAAAGAAAGATCATGAAAAAAGAAGAAATAGCCAAACGTTTGGCTGGATTTTGTACTAGGAAGATGGCAAATTTCTAAGTGAATCAGGCAAAAATACTGGCTTGGCCAATCCAGATAGTTGGGAAGATAGAAATCCTGAATATGTCTTGAAAGTGAGCAACCAGGTAACACAATCTAGTTGAAACTGTTACCGCCAACACAAACTGGAAAGCTGTGTACCTTGCTCGCAAGCTAACCAGGGAGCCTGATAGAGTCCTGGATGTTGGCAGAGTCAGGCTTCTGGTTCAGAGAAAAATGACAGCTTGTTACTCACAAAAATAGCAACTGCCACAGTATCAGCATTTTGGTCCCATTTCTCCAGGGTCCAGTCTCCGAAGTGTGGTGTCAAGTGAGCCAGGGGCCACACGCATGCCCAGTGGGTGTGCTATTAGAGAGGGACCTCAAGCATAGGGATCCCAGATCTTTCACTGTGGGCAGTAAGCGCAACTACTCTTTGTGGGAAGGGTGTCACTCTCATTATTATCATGGGCAGTAAACAAACCTGCTTTTTCCTCTGGAGGGACATAGTACCTCTTCATTAAGCAAACATTCTTGAAAAGCTAGTCCAGAAGAAAGGAGGTTGATGCCTCTGCTCAGAAAACATGTGAGACACAGGAGACTCATGGAGAACTGCCTTCCAACAAGCTCCTAATAAGAGTTAGCTCCATGTTTACAAACCACAAAGAGGTTCCAAAAATGAAAAGCCAGAACTTCTCAGGAGACTTCTATAACAGACAACTGAGTTTCAGAGTGGTTTTTATGAATCCAAGTTGCATGTGCTGCCATAAGCTATCCAGAATTTAATCTGTTCACATCTAACACCACATCTGAAGAGCGCATTTTCTTGTGCAAGAACTCTAAACGTAGAATTTTCTCCCAGTGGGTTCCCCAAAGGGAGAAACCACTCTGTGCTTCCTGCTTTAATAAAATCCACATTCAACACAACATAGAGATACTTATGTATTAGATCTGTATCAAATGTGAAATATTGATCTTATTCAGTGATTCTCAGGTTGCTTTGAATTATCTTCAAAGCAGAGATATCTGTCTGAAATACACTTAAGTAAATGCAGGCCCTATTAATAGCATTCTGCAGAATGTCCAACCATTATAACAAGTAAAGTAATAATAGCTTATCAATTGAAATTTATGATTATTTGAACATGGCAGGGCTGAGGGTCTATTTTGTTTAACGAAACCTTTTTGGAGTGGCTGTGAAAACACTGCTGATTATAATAATTAGTAGGGCAGAGGTTGCTTAGGATGCTTCAGAAACCTCTTTAAAATGACCTCAAACACTTTATGGCATAAATTACATATAAACAAGGCTGATGATGCTGATAAATCCCTTTTAGTCATTAAAATAATTCTCCTAGGCCCTCTAATAGATAATACTTTGTGGTCTCAGGTTAAATGGCAGTGTATGCACTAAAATGTTGATTAAATAGAATACTGAGGGAAGGTGTATTGGCTAACTGAGTTTTCTGGATGGCTGAAGATTAAGCTCTTAAACATCTGACTATTCTGCTTCAGCTTTTGTTGTTGATCTGTCCATACTGCATAAGTTCATCTTTTAGGCAGAGTAAATAAAATGAATCATAATGGATCTGATTGTGGGGACCCAAGTCTTCCAACGTTGCAGGGCAATTGTTACTGGCGAGTTCAAAGGGCATGGAGATTCTTCACCCTAGTGGGTCCTAGCTGCGTAGCACTTGACAAGTCAGACATTTCCCTGAGCAAATGTTTTAATCTGCAGAATGGGGATACTAATAGAGCTGTCTTGCAGGATTGTTCTGAATATTAAATAAGATATCATTTGTGAATATACCTAACACCAGGCTTGGCAGAAATTAGGCCCTCAGTAAGTATTAGCTAATCAATCATGATTGTTCAAAAAACTGTAGAGAGTTGCATGACATTTATTGCTTTCGTAAGCAGCTGACATAAATTCTGACATGCATTTATTTTCTTATAAGGTGAACTTTTGTTATAACATTTGAGTAAAGAACATATAACTTTATGATCCTGACAAAATATTTTAAACTTCTTTCTACAAAATTAATTATTGAGTGATGGGTTGAGCAGCAGTTCCCTAAGAATTTCTTATCCATTTACTGAAAAAAACTTATTTGTTTTTAACTTTGCCTTCAATTTATAGCATATCAGATATTTTATAGGATATACTATGTGTCATTAGCTAGTCTTAGACAATGCTCTTGATTGCTGGTTGAGTATGAAATAGCATCCTTTGTAATTTCAAGAATTTATATTATTATAGGACTTACTGTAAGTCTTCAAATTCTCTAAGCAGTTAGAAACTGTCAACTGGAAGCAATGAAAGAAGTGTCTCTCTGATAAGGAGGAAAAAAAATACAGAAACTGCTGTTTTATAAGAAGGTCATCATAAATCTCACAGGCAATATTAACAAGGAAATCTGAGAAGACAGGA